TTGAGAGCACCCGCTGGCCAGCCCTGGTACTGCAGCCCACAAGGCAGGTGAGTCCCACCACTATTGGCAAGTCCATTCCTGACAGTACCCCCCCCCCCTCAAGGAGCGGCCTCAGGATGCTCCAAACAGTCCTAGCTGGCAAAATGTTCCACCGCCCGGGTCCGGTGACTGGCGGGATATCAAAGACTGGCACATCGGGCTGGGCACCGGACGGAGGCACTTCGAGCTGGGCACCGGAAGGAGGCACTGCGGGCTGGGCACCGGAAGGAGGCACTTCGGGCTGGGCACCGGATGGAGGCACATCAGGCTGGACGCCGGATCACCAGGCAGAGCAGCGGGCACTGGGCCACCAGGTGGAGCAGCGGGCACCGGGCCACCAGGCAGGGCAGCAGGCACTGGGCCACCAGGCGGAGCAGCAGGCACCGGGCCACCAGGCGGAGCAGCAGGCACCGGGCCACCAGGCGGAGCAGCAGGCACCGGGCCCCCAGGCAGGGCGGCGGGCACCAGGCCACCAGGCAGGGCAGCAGGCACCGGGCCACCAGGCGGAGCAGGCACTGGGCCACCAGGCGGAGCGGCAGGCACCGGGCCCCCAGGCAGGGCGGCGGGCACCGGGCCACCAGGCGGAGCAGCAGGCATCGGGCCCCCAGGCAGGGCGGCGGGCACCGGGCCACCAGGCAGGGCAGCAGCAGGCATCGGGCCACCAGGCGGAGCGGCAGGCACCGGGCCACCAGGCGGAGCGGCAGGCACCGGGCCACCAGGTAGGGCGGCAGGCACTGGGCCACCAGGCGGAGCGGCACTGGGCACCGGGCAGAGGCCCCAGGCACCGGGCCCCCAGGCGGGCACCGGGCACCGGGCCACCAGGCGGAGCAGCAGGCACCGGGCCCCCAGGCAGGGCAGGGCGGCGGGCACCGGGCCACCAGGCAGGGCAGCAGGCACCGGGCCACCAGGTGGAGCGGCAGGCACCGGGCCACCAGGCAGGGCGGCGGGCACCGGGCCCCCAGGCAGGGCAGCAGGCACTGGGCCCCCAGATGGAGCGGCAGGCACCGGGCCATCTGGCTCGACAGCGGGCATCGGGTCACCAGGTACAACAGTGGGCACCGGGTCATCAGACATTGGATCGTCTTGCTCGACCGCGGGCACCAGGTCATCTGGCTCAACAGCGGGCATCGGGTCACCAGGCACGACAGCGGGCCACGGGTCACCAGGCATCAGGTCATCTGGCTCGACAGCGGGCACTGAGTCATCTGGCAAGGCAGTGGGCACCGAGTCACCAGGCGTGACAGCTGGCTCTGAGTCAACTGGCACGACAGCGGGCATCGGGTCACCAGGTATGACAGCAGGATCTGGGTCATCAGGCATTGGATCGTCTGGCTCGACAGCGGGCATCGAGTCATCAGGCACGACAGTGGGCATCGGGTCACCAGGCATGACAGCGGGCACTGGGTCATCAGGCATTGGATCGTCTGGCAAGACTGCGGGCATCGAGTCATCTGGCAAGACCGCGGGCACCGAGTCATCTGGCAAGACTGCGGGCTCCGAGTCAACTGGCAAGACTGCGGGCACCAAGTTGTCTGGCAAGACTGCGGGCACCGAGTCATCTGGCAAGACTGCGGGCACCGAGTCGCCTGGCAAGACTGCGGGCTCTGAGTCAACTGGCAAGACAGTGGGCTCCGAGTCGTGTGGCGGAACAGCGGGCATCGAGTCGTCTGGCAAGACTGCGGGCACCGAGTCAGCTGGCAAGACTGCGGGCACCGAGTCGTCTGGCAAGACTGCGGGCACCGAGTCGTCTGGCAAGACTGCGGGCTCTGAGTCAACTGGCAAGACAGCGGGCTCCGAGTCGTCTGGCGGAACAGCGGGCATCGAGTCGTCTGGCAAGACTGCGGGCACCGAGTCGTCTGGCAAGACTGCGGGCTCCGAGTTGTCTGACAAAAGCTGGGCACTGAGTCGTCTGGCAAGACTGCGGCTCCGAGTCAACTGGCAAGACAGCGGGCACCGAGTTGTCTGGCAGAACAGCGGGCATCGAGTCGTCTGGCAAGACTGCGGGCACTGAGTCATCTGGCAAGACTGCGGGCTCCGAGTCGTCTGGCGGAACAGCGGGCATCAAGTCGTCTGGCAAGACTGCGGGCACCAGGTCGTCTGGCAAGACTGCGGGCACCGAGTCGTCTGGCAAGACTGCGGGCTCCGAGTCAACTGGCAAGACAGCGGGCACCGAGTCGTCTGGCAAGACTGCGGGCACTGAGTCGTCTGGCAAGACTGCGGGCACCGAGTCGTCTGGCAAGACTGTGGGCTCCGAGTCATCTGGCAAGACAGCGGGCATCGAGTCATCTGGCATAATAGGATCATCAGGCTGGATCAGTTCATCAGGCTGGGTAGAGACGACATGCTGAATTGTGGGCGCCGAGGCACCAGGCTGCACCACGGAAGGCGGGTTCTCAGATGGCAGGCTGACCGGTTTGGATACTGGCAGGATGGTATTGGTTGGAAAGAATTTTCGCCTTTTCCTGGTTTTAGTTACCGGAGCACTGTAAGTAAGCGCAGGTTTGTAAACGGATGGAGCAGCTGAAGACAGAGAAGAGCTGGAGGATGGAACAGAGGAGGGAGCAGTTGCTACAGAGGACTTCTTTACAGGGTTAAAGAAAGGATAGGTGCAGCGAGTGGGAGCAGAGGACTGATATGTGGTAGTTAGCAGAGTATACTGGGCCGTCACTGGGGGTGCTGTCGGGGATGTAGGAAGAGTGCCTTGAGCGGAGGAATGACGTTGTAAGCTGACTGAGGCTGGGTGCAACAAGTCTGACCATGTCTGCAGTATGGGTTGAACAAAGCTCAGCTTACACAACGCCTGTCTGGTCAAAGACTGCACTGCGTTTATATAATCCCTTAATACCTGTTGTGAACATGCAGCATAATGCTCCAAGAAGCAATCCACATCATCCTCCAATAACCACACCAGGGACTCTACCTGGTCGGCACTAAATGGCGGCAAAAATTCATCCCTGCTTTCAGGGGTACCAGATGAAGCCAACTCTGCACAAACCTGAATCAAAGGTTGCACCTCAGAGAACTCTGTGCCCTGATCTACTAGAACATGAGCGATCCGTATACATTCTAGCAGTTGATCCCGGGTATACTCCCTCAGAGTCTGAGAGTCTGTCATCAAAAACCAGCAGCGACAAATACACAACCTCATCAAGATCCATCCTTCCCAGCAACAAGCCAAGATGGCTTCCCTGTGCAGCCACTTCTGGTCAGGATGGCCTTGGTGTAATGTCAGGGATGGGGGTGTGACCAGAAGTGTGTGGACTGACACAGGGAAACACAAGCTTCAGATATGGTATAAATAAGACAATTTATTAAGACTAACAATACAAACATAAACGCAGTGCACCAAACCCCAAGCTAACACAAATACATACAACAAGGTAAAACAAACCCAAACCTAAACTGATAAAGATACACAGGTACATACACATATAGAGCACAACGTAGTCAGGCAGGCCGGGTCGATAACTATTGGGCAGGTAGGTACAGGAGGAGCAGGCGGAGAGAATGGTCAGGGTCACAAGCCAGGGATCAAACAGGAGAAGTCAGCAGAGGTCAGGATCAGGCAGGGTCGGCAACAAGTCAGGCAAGAACAGGAACAGGAATGCAGGTTTACAAGGTACAGGGGCCCATGGAAAAACACACACCAAGGCACAGACTGCAGGTCTGGCCATCCCTTAAATACTGCGAAGTGAAACAACAAGAAGTGCACCAACCTTGTGTATTACCTCAGTAACCAAAATGTATTTAATGAAGGAAAGGTACTCACAAACAGCGAATAAAAACAGGCATGTAAGTCCACCAAGGGACTTCAAAGGTAAGAGGCCAGCGCGAATCCCATCATGGGTGTAGGTACTCAGTCCTCTGACGCGTTTCGAAGGGCATTCCTTCTTCCTCAGAGGCATGACCTTCGAAACGCGTCAGAGGACTGAGTACCTACACCCATGATAGGATTCGCGCTGGCCTCTTACCTTTGAAGTCCCTTGGTGGACTTACATGCCTGTTTTTATTCGCTGTTTGTGAGTACCTTTCCTTCATTAAATAAATTTTGGTTACTGAGGTAATGCACAAGGTTGGTGCGCTTCTTGTTGTTTCACTTCGCAGTTTGTTCGGGGCTTCCCCAGCCTTGGTTTGGAGCTGCACGACCTTGGATACTCCGGTGGTTGCTTCTCTGGAGGTTTTAATTCCATCTACTCACCACCGGCCTGGGTCCCGGAGCGCAGGAGAAATCGCTTTTCATCCCTTAAATACACCACCTGCAATCAGCCGCAGGTGATGGCTAATTGCCAAAGTGAACCTCTGGTTGTTGAGAGCACCCGCTGGCCAGCCCTGGTACTGCAGCCCACAAGGCAGGTGAGTCCCACCACTATTGGCAAGTCCATTCCTGACAGGAGCCCCTTGTCCCCCCCCGCCTGAGCCCTGATGCTTACCAAGGATCTTTTGGATATACAGTATATTCATGCGCATTATCATTGCGCTTCTGGTGAGTGCAAGCATACTACAAATCCCTATCATGGAAGTCACGTGCATGGAAATTTGCAGATCACTTTTGGACTCCTTATTTGTTTATTTCCAGGATGCATTTCATCATGTATTAATTATTTTATTACTTCTATGTGGAATATTTCACCATTGTCACTATCGTATTATCCATTCACTTATATTTTCATCAATATTTGACAACACACTTTATATTTGCTGTGATCACGTTTTAGCGCAAGCATTTTGCGCCTCACTATATATGCATTTGTCACTTTCATCATTTAGCGCTGCATTTTATATTTATTAAGTCTATTTGAGGATACAGGGGTTCATCTTTAATGCCAGCAGCTTGTTATTAATTGTGTGCTCACTTGCTACATATTTTATTTATTAACTACTTCCTCGCCTCCCTATAGCACAAAAACTGCTACAGGACACAGGGCGCTCCCTGTGCTGCCATTGGCGGCTACAGCTGTCAATCACCAGGTCCTGGCCGGAGAATCCCCGCTGGCACCCGGTGATCACTGACTGTTACTGATGGAGGAGAGGTCTGTATGTAAGCAATACAGATCTCTCCCCTGTCAATTACAGCTTGCTGCTTTGTATTGCTCTGCATAGCAGAGCAATACAAAGCAGTGTGCTTACACAATACAACACACATAGCACACAGTTAACCCTTTGATTGCCCCAGATGTTAACCCCTTCCTGCCCAGTGTCATTAGTAGTGTCAGTGCTTTTTATTAGCACTGATCACTGTATTAGTGTCATTGGGATGTCAATGACAGTTAGCCTGTTCCCTCCCAGTGTCAGAATGTCCGCCACAGTCCCGCTATAAGTTGCTGATCGCCACCATTACTAGTATACAAAAAACAATTCCAGTATATATACCACCATTTTTAGACACTATAACTTTCACATGTAGTAAAATACATTTTGGCCTAAATATATGATGAAATTAGATTTTTTAAATTATTTTTACTGGATATGTTTTATAGCAAAAAGACAAAAATATTGTGTTTTTTTTTTCAAAATTGTAGTTTTTTTTTTGTTTATAGCACAAAAAATAAAAAAACGCACAGGTGATCAAATACCACCAAACGAAAGCTCTATTTGTGGGAAAAAAGGACATAAATTTCATTTGTATATAGTGTTGCATGACTGCCCAATTTTCAGTTAAAGTAATGCAGAGCCATATCGCAAAAAATGGTCTGGTCAGGAAGGGGGGTAAATCCTCTGGAGGGCAAGTGGTAATTATGTATGTATTTGTTTATCTTTCTACAAATGTTAGTCTTTACAGTCTATTTAAAATGTGGCAACCCACCAGTTCATGCAGAGAATACACTGATAACACCAATTAAACTGCAAACACACTTGGCATAAAATATTTAGAAAACATAATTTAACACTGACCTTTCTGCTGAGTATGTTGACACCTGTCTCAACTGCTGATAGGATGAAGGTTTTTTTAGTTGTCAAAAAAACACCTAAAAAACAGTGCAGTGGTCAAGTGTATGAAGAGCACACATTGTTGTGTTTATTGTGCAGAGGCAGAGAGTGTATAATACAGAGAATGCAGGGGCCAGGAGTGCGTATCGCAGAGAGTGTAGGAGCACTAAAATATATTTACTAAAGTAAATATACTTCGCACAGCAAGTGCAGCGGCTTTATATCCGAGGGGAAGCTCTGAAATGAGGTAAAGCTCTGCTGGTTTCTTTCTTCCAATCATGTGCAAGCAAAAATGCTGTTTTTCACATTTTCCTTGCATGTTCCCCTCAGAGCTACAGCAACTGCACTTTCAGTGCACAGCCTATTTGCCTTTAGTAAATCAACCCCAGATTGTAAGGTTAAGGGGTGAAAATCACACAAAGTGCAGGGGCATAAGTGGTTATTACAGAGAGAACCAGTTAGGATTAGGATAGGGGGTAAGAAGTGTGTGACACATAGAATGCAGGGATCAGGAGTATGTAACACACAGGCTAGTGTACAGAGTATAACCAAAAAGTTTTCCCTCCTCTCTGTACAAATTTCCATAAAATGCTATACTACCACAGTACAGATCTCCCTCAACAGTTCCAGTTCCCCACCCAGTACAGATTTCCCCTTTCCAATTTCCCAATTAGACTGCTACCACATTCATCCTACTAGCTTTCACTATGCAGTCTGACCCTAGGAAAAACCCTCTCCTAGCCCACTTTCTTAGTACAGCATCCCCTCAAAGAACAACCATTCAGTACAGCCCCCCCCCCCCCCCATCATCTCCCTTTTCAGAACAGAAAATTTCCTTAGTACAGACTGCCCCTCTTCTAGTACTTCCCGCTTCACCATTACAAGCCCCTGCCCCCATTACACCCCGGTCGCACCGGGTGCGAATTGGCATGCAATTTGTATGCCACGCGACTTGCAAATCGTATGCCAAGTCACATCCTATTGTCCGCAATTACAACAGTTAAATTAGTGCGGTTTCGACTTGGTCAGAGCCGCACCAATTTCTAAAGTAGTACATGCACTACTTTTGGTGCAATTTGCATAGACATCTGTGTCAGATGTCTTACAAATCGCACCTGAAATCGGCATCTCACCCGACTTTGAAATCGTCCGACTTCACTGTAAGTCGCATGATTTCAAAGTTGGGCTTGATGTGAGCGGGGTGTTCTACTCACTCACCAGATGCAATACAGACCTCACATACCACAGAAGTGGGAAGTCCTCCCTTCCGCTGTGCTAACTGAAGCTGACTTGGAGGCTCCCTCGGCTTTGCATATGTATGAGCTGCAGCACAGACAGCAATAAAACCCTGACAGGTATTCTAATCCCTCTCCAGTCTATCTAAAATAAAAAAAAAAGTTTTGCCTTTAGTTAAACTTTAACTTTCAACATAAATATAAAGAAAGATGTATGTTTTGTTTGAAGATTTCTGCCCTACTCTCTTTCCTATAAATTCCTATAAATTTTGGCTTTTTATCCTAGTGACAGTGGACATCAGAGGGTGAATCTCTCTAGAGGAGAAACAGATATAAAAGTTGATAGGGGTTTCAACACTCCCATACTCTATCAAAAAAAGTTTTTACTTTAGACACACTACTATTATTATTGCAATGCATATAACATATGCATTGATTAAGCTAACCCACATGGAAGAAAAATATATTTGAAATATATTTTAAAAATATTCTTCCCAAATATATTGACATATATTTTAAATGCTACAATTTTGGCCATATTCAATATATTTCAAGATATATTTCAATAAAAAATATAAATATATATATATATATATATATATATATATATATATATACTATATGTTGAAATGTGTTTTCATTACAAAATATATGAAAAAATATTTTTTTAAAATATTTTTTTAAAATATATTCTTCAGGTTTTTTTTAACATATTAAAAAGTAATTTTAACATATTTTTTTACATATATTTGTAAATGCATTCCAAAAATGCAGATTTGCATTTTTAAAGACATACAGTATATTTGAAATGTATTGATAAAAATATTTTTCATATATTTTGCAATAAAAATGCATTTCAACATACTGTATATATATATATATATATATATATATATATATATATATATATATATATATATAATTTTGAAATATATTGAATATGGCCCAAAAAATTGCAGCATTTCAAATATATGTCAATATATTTGGGAAGAATAATTTTGAAATATATTTCAAATATAATTTTCTTCTATATGGGAATCATTCAGCATTGTTAACCTCTTTCACAGTATGGTGTCATACCAGGACAGTAAGATCAGGAAAACACACTGTAGGCAACATGTAGATAGTAACTGATATTGCTGATTTGATCACTGTTAATTCTTTTTCTTAATGCTTCCTTGCACCAGTTGGCTTCAGGGTTCTGCTTCCTTCCTCCCTTATGAGTCTGATTTAGCTCCCTGATTTATATCCGCAGCTGGATACTGCATACCTATTGAAGCATTCACTGCGGCCCATATGCTTATTTCCCCTCCCCCAGTTCTATTACAGCTGGGTTGTGGCAGAAGCACCAAGGCGTTGTCAAGAAACTGACAGGGGAAAAATAAACCCATGTCATAGCATTTAGAAATTGTATTCTCTAACAGCACCTTCTGTTTACTATACATCTGTCACCCTGGTGGCATTCATTAATAGATGCTGTGATATTATATACTGTAATTCATAAACAAAAGCTGACTAAAATAATATTTCCTCATTGCATAAACCTGGCAAAATATTTCTTAGGCCATGTTTTTCAAAGCTCGACAGCCATTTACATTTCTACCATCATCAAACCCTTCATTGTCCACCTATTCAAATCAAAGCAATGAAATCTACTATTCAATTAGACTGCTACCACATCCATCCTACTAGCTTTCGCTATGCAGTCTGACCCTAGGAAAAACCCTTTTCTGCCTCCTTATAGGGTACTGATGAGCATTTCTTCATATCTATCTCCAATTAGCCAATACTCTACCTATCAAGACCCTGCATTCATTTGATATATTGTCCTCTACAGTGACTGCTGTAGTTCATACACATACATACTGCTGATGTTTTGATTAAAAGTCCATTAGTGTATCAGTTTTTAAGGTTACAAAGTCACATCTAGGGGATCTTAGACATCGATAGGGATAAAAGAAAAGGTGAAAAAACCCAAAGATCTGAGGAAGCCATACAGTCCATCCACTTGCACTTTCTGACAAATGGACATACCTGTACATCCTCGGGTTTAAGTGGTTCTGCTGGGATCATGGTACCTTTTTTTATGATTGGTGGTGCTCTATATTGTAAAAGTGATTTAAGCAGCAATACAGCCGCTTGATCATTTTTACATGTGGAGGAAGGTGCTTTCTACCCCCCCCCCCCCCACCACCTTCCTGGGCTCTCCTGTTCCACTGGGGAGCCCAACACTGATATTGGTGGCCAGGGTGGCACAACATAGAGATGAAGGAGAAATTTCCATTCCCCAATCATCTCTTTGATGAATGAATCCAGAAGTGACAAGGATTTTTGTTCAGTTCAGTTTTGTTGTTTACAAGCTGTTATCGGCTTGTAAAGCATCTGATCAAACCAATCTTGATTTGGTCAGATGCTTTTGAGGGCAGAGGAGAGCAATGGGGTCTAACAGGCTCTAGATCTGTTAGTAAGGAGTATCTGTCGCTGCCCATGCTATCACATGTTGTTCAACCCTTGTTATAACAATAAAGTTGATCAAAAAAAGACAGTGTAAAAAAAATTAAAAATTCAAGTGCTCCAGTTCCCCCCATGCTCATGCGCAAATGCGAACGCATATGTAGGTCCCACACATATAGGTAAAGAGTGGTTGCACCACACGTGAGGTATTGTCACAAACATTAGAGCAATAATTTTAGCACCAGACCTTCTGTTTATCTCCAAACTGGTAACCTGTAACGGCTTTCAAAGCATCACCTATGGAGGCGTTTAGGTACTTTAGTTTGTCACCATTTCGCTGGTGTGTGCAATTTTACAGCGTGCCATGTTAGGTATCTATTTATTCAGTGTACCATCATCTTTTATATTTTACCAAACAAGTGGACATTATATTGTGTTTGTGTGCACTAAATTTCATTAATGTGTATTTTTTCCAAAAATTAGCATTCGAAAAACCGCTGCACAAATATCGCATGACATAAAAAATTGCAACAACAAGCATTTTTTCTCCAGGACCATTGCTTTCAGAAAATATATAGTGTTTGTGGGTTATAAGTAATTATCTACTAAAAAAAAAATTAAGATTTTTCCATGTATGTGAGACATGTCAGAATTGGCTTGGGCACCAAGTGGTTAATAATCATAGGCTATATAGTGCATA